TAGTTTGATTATATTAGGTGTATGACTTAATTTGTACAGATTTTTCAGCAAAATTATTTGTCATAAAAATATTAGAGAACAACGGATATATTCGTGGAAATCTTGTTCATCGTGTACTATGACTTTGCGCCATCTCTCAGGTAACGTAGGAGTGCCGTCGCAAAAGAAACGTGCAGGCTTCGAGGGAATAAATTCATCAACGAATTTACGCACATCATCAAGCCTTTTGAACTGTTTGTCGACTGAGGCGTGCTGCATCCGTCGGAACAAATGTTAGTCGGATGGAGCCAAGTCCGGCGAACATGCCGCGTGTGGGAGAATTTACCATCACAAATTTAAGAAGATATTGTTAATCGAGTGGGCAACGTAAGGCTGTCGAGCGTTGACACATAGCGGCATAATTTGCCTGCCTCTTTGACCAGTAAATGACTCTTTCTGATCAAGTTCTTTGCCTGGTTTCCTCAATTTTTGACTGAAGGGCCCCGCAATACCAGTCTGACGACCAGCTTTGAGGAATTTGCAATAAAATGCACTTTTAATGTCTCACTAGATACACAGAACAACCTCCTTTAAGTAGATGCCCTGTTTTATCGTCGATGTAATGGGTTGACCGATATCTACCCACGGCTATTTACGTTTGGGATTGTCGTAAAAATATGCTTTACATCACCCATCACAAGTATTCACAATAAGTTCTTTTTGTTGCCAGCTGGCAAGCAGCAAAAGGCATTTGTTCATGCGTTGACCTAGGTAGTGTTCAGTCAATATATGTGGGACACAACTTCCAACTTTCTGAATTTTCGCCATGTAGTGTAAGAGCATGGAAAGTTTTTGGGTAATTCCTAACTAAGTTGTAATCTCTTTTTGCGCTTGTGCTAAGCATTCATCAAATAAACCTTATGATTAAGCATCTTAAAACTCTCGAGGCTGTTATCCGGGTCGCGGCTGGTCACTAAGATAGAAACCACCACTTCTAAAACGTTTTTACCAATAACTACAAATTTCATAAGATACAAGTTCAGCACTAAGAACACTACAAATTGATTCCCGTGCTTTAGAGGCATATTTCCTTGTTAGAATTTGCATAATTTGCCAAATTCACTGTTCGGGTAGTTAGTTCAACTCACGTAGACTTGTTCAGTGTTCTGAAACCTTGCGTTCGATCATTTGAAAATCACAAAAGACCGCAAAAACAGTTCTATTTTAAATATAATCCTGTGCTCGAAGAAAAAATGTGCACACATTAGGTTATGAACCTCATATATTTAGGTAAAATAGGTAGCTGGAATGATTTTTAGTTTAAATTCCCGATTAAAGCAGCAGTAAATCATAGTTCTGTCGAGTTATTCACGTAAACGATCACACATGATTACTTCTAGATTCGAAATCTAGAATCATCGAAAATCACAAAAAATACGTTTTATCGAGATTTGACCAACAAAAAGTTTCTTCTATACATACATACATATATATATATCATTAGACAAATTAAAGCTAAATGTTTGAAGGGATAAACGCTCTGTTTTTGATCAGGTTATATAACGAATAATAGTCCAAAATGTCAGTGCACAGGTGCCTAAAAAGTTTAGATAAGATAAAAGCAGTATTCTTAACAATAATATTCGATTTGTCACTGTCAAAACCACTGATAAGAAAGGAAATATTCGTTTAAAAGGCAAAGAATTGCCAAAAAGTTTGGGAAAAAAGCATACTGTAGGCTTTCAAGCATTTGTAATAAATTTTATGAGTAAAATTAGCCTAGTAAATGGTTTAACGGTGTTAACAAGGCAAAAATGTCAATTTAAAGAAAAGATTAATTTAAGCACAATATCAAATAACAATTTGCAAGATTATTACCAAGAGTTGGACAAGCTGAGCATAATATCACTAAAAAACATATTAGTAACACTATAAAGATTAAGAACAACATAAAGTTTACACGTCAAACAGTAAAGCCAAAAATCAAACCAACCTAGGAACTAGTTTAAAAATGGTAGGCAAATATGACCTAGACTAAATTTGATAAATTGGATTTTCCAAACAAATTTGACAACAGTGTTGTTGCAAAAATGCAGAAAAATAGTAATCCTGAGTGCTATTAGCCTTCTTTTGTATTACTAATTGAATCAACATATCGATATTTAGAAAAAATACATAGCTAAGCTAAAAATACAATAGAACCCTAATCGCAAGGTTTTCTAGCGCAGACGTGCTAGCAAACTTAAGATAATATCATTTTTAAATTTCTATCACACAGATACATACGTGATTAAAGTAAAATGACTAAAAAAACCTTTCTATGTGGGATAGTTTGGACCTAACTGATTCGTGGGATGAATTTCGTGCTGCATATTATAAAATTCATCGGCACGGATTTACTTTTAAAATTCCAGATGTCGCTATTTTTTCAAAAAAATGAGTTATTTATTGCAATTGTAATGTGATTTTTAAAAGTGTAGATGCAAATTTTGTGCTAACCAAACAAGTTTAAATTTTAAGTTGTTAGGACCTTAAATACATACACAAATCGATGTCAAAATATGTATTTGCTTTTGCGCTTAAAGTTATATCCTTGAGGACAATTCGCTGTTTCCTCACACTAGTTAAATGAAAGCTAATATTGGGGTGGCCATTATGCCACAAAAATTGCTCAATAAATAGAAAAGTTATTATCGTCAGCTTTCTGTATATACCGCCTTTTTTGGACTATTAGCTCTAACAGTAATTATGTTATGATGTAATTTGTACGTCACGCCTTATTTTTCTGCATGATTTTAGGTGGATTACAGGTTTTGAATCCATCTTAACCTACTCAATCTCCAAAAAATTTCGAGATATAATGTAGTTTCCAAATATTTCTGCTTTGGCATAATGAGCAAAATTTTAAATATAGGATGCATTAAAAGATACAGAAAAGAGGGTTCAAATTTAGTTTATTGATCCTGATGACACAAACGGTTCATTTTGAAAGAAAATTTATTGGTCCCACTGGAGTCTTGAATGGCAATTGTCCCATGGTTCGTGATGGACAGTCTATCAAAATGATGTTTTGTAACGTATGCAAACTCATACTTTCCCTTTTACCTCTACTATTTTTGCGTATCCACACATCCCCACAACCTTGTCGCAGTGGTCATTGCTGATCTACCACACTCAATTTTAATTTTCAATGTGGACCTTATGAAGAATCCACACAAATAATAGACAACACCTTACAACTGAATTGTGAATGCCCCCATTCAAAATATCACCGAATTTAGTTACTCGAAAATATCGCGTGCGGCTCGAGCATTCCATTTATCACCCTCTATGAACCACACTTACCGTTAGATAAAATGTTCATAACAGCGTAGCCTGACAGCCATTTTTAACCAGACAACTGACTTAATAGCCACCTGATTATAGTCAAGCAGACACCGGACCACTACAGATGCCCTCTTAATAAGTAGCTGCCAGTATTGACACAGCTTGCAGATGATTCCCAGTAATAGCCCACTTGTCAACCCGGAAGAGGAAATTGGACGCAAAACACACCACCAGTGACCATCGGTAATGTAGCACTTAATTTAGACCTAAGCCAGATTCTGCTCCAGAGCAATCTAGCGAAACCTCATTGGACAAAAGTAGCGGCGACTCGTATTTTATAGGCACTGGGATCAGATATTGCTAAGTTGATATGCAACGTGATGACAGCACGTCCATAACTAAAATGAAAGACCGAAAACCCATACGTTTCACAATAAGCAGCAGGTCCGACAGAACAAGAACCGAAATTGACAATCCCACTAGTTAAGACAATTCCACCAACAACCTTCCTCATATCTTTCGCTAATTTGCATGAAACTGGTGAGACACTTGTTCAGTTGCTTATATCATTCGCTCAACATCAGAAGTCAACATGATGCCGTATCAAATTACAGCACCAGGATTGAGTAGTTACCACAAGCTAGGTTGCACAATAGACGTACTGGAAAGATGGTACACACTACATAGAACGGCTCGATGGGTAGAACGCTGAGCTCCGTGGACGTTGGTCGCAAATGCGGTATAAAGGATGACATCGCAAAGAACTCTGTGGAACCACAAATTAACGCTCTAGTATCCCACACTGCTCGTTGTGTGGAACTCACTCACGTAGTTCAACCCCACCTTGCTTAATGGTGATTACGTTGCCACCGGTTAGGCACACTTTAAAAGGAATCGGATTTAAAAAATCAAAGCAAATTTGCCAGATATACTACTGAAAATCGATACAATCCATTCGAACAGGGAAATACCAGCTTAGAGAAACCACTACCTATTCCACCCACCAACCTGTCGCAGATCAGTGAACGTACTGAGACGAGGTTCGTACATCATAGTCCAAGTGATTACGTCAGACACCGACAAAAATTTAAAGTTAATCTGCAGCGCAAGATGGCGCAAATTTCAAACTGAAAAAACACCAACGTATTCAAGCAGTGTGCCAAACTTCAAACGCAGCCCGACCAATAATATACCCCGTTTATAAGAGAAGACATGCGCTAAAAACCAAGCTAAGACGATTTCTGCATGGATGCAGTCATTCGGTGATTGCAAGTGAAGTCATCATAAGAGTACATACGGGCAAAAAAACGACTACAGGACAAGATATGGTAAGAACTCACCTTTTAGAAAATGGACGAAGTACAAGATCACGGGGAAACAAAACTAAACACACACCAGCATCACATTCAACAGCAATGAACCTAGGTCCTATCTGAACTCAAAGAAAACGTAGATGCCTAGCCAAAGTTTAAATGAAATTAGTAAAGAACCGTAAGAGCCGAAAGCATACCGTACAAACTGTGGAGTCCTTAACGTGAGAAACGAATCAATGCTACTTTGACCACCCAAAAGAGTGGACCTGGATTCCAGAAATACAACAACTGATAACAAAATGACTTTATATTTAAATGTTAGTAACGTGTTCATAGTCGGTAGAGGTTTCAGAATACATGTACACCAGGGATCGTGTCCAGTTACAAGTTCGGGTTACGGAACACTTCAGCTTGTTTTTTTATCCTAAAGTCGTACTCTTTTCTGCTGTTGGTGAACAAGGAGTACGCCTCTGCTTGAGCTGGATCCTTCGGATTAGGATGGTCCAGTAAATCCTGAATTCCTAGAAGAATCTTTAAATCTCAAGACAATGCAAATAAAAGTACTTGTTTAATTGTAACTGCAGGTCGCCAATGCTTTTCTTCGTCCAAAAGCGATAAACAAACTGTTCCCGAAGGGAATATGTTTGGGTGGAACAGAGGAGGCTCAAATTTGCACTTTGGCGGAGTTGTCGGATATTCCGGTTTAAAATACATACGAAGATGAAACAGTCCTCCCTCCCAAAGTGTCTATAAATGTTAAAACAAGATCTTATAGTTACCCCTTTTTTACCAGGAATACTGCAGTCCCAGGTCATTAGGTCAAGCGTACCATCAGGATTCTTCGCTGGTTTGGCAACAAATCCCTAAAACCATCACTTAAAATAACTCAATTTACAAAGGGGTGGTCTCTACGCCACGCTTTTCTCTCCTCAGCTAGTCTTTTTAAAGCTATTCGGTCCGCCTCGCAGTAATCACCCATTATGAGTAAACGTAATGCGCCTAGCGAGAGAGAACCTACAAGGGAGGGTTACGATCAATCTGCAACTAAAGGACAAGCACACAACCAGTTTAACTACACGACAAGCGTCAATAGAGAAATGAGGGCAACCAAGTGTACACAAAGGCAAAAGGGCTGAGGCATGGGAGGTGTCAAAGTCGGAAGAGCCACTTAGATACAGAGGGATGATGCGTAGAGACACTTGAGGTTAAAGAGTTTCAAGTTAGGAAAGTGGAACGGAGGAACATGACTAAGGAAAGAAATACAAGAGCTAGGGGCACAAACAAAGTGGATAAATGCGCAAAACACCACGAAACACAAGAACAGATGATCTGAATGAATACTCTAATTCAGCAAATTTAAACAATTTTGTGAAATTAAGCCATTTTAGATTTGATGTTTACATTATCTCCAAAAAGGGCCTCGATCTTGCGCTACTTCTTTTAAAGGAAAATTTCTACATTTAAATTTGCTTGAGGTGTGCGTTAAGCTATTTTAGTAAATTTAGTAAGAATTAGGAAGAAAAAATATTACCTGTCAGAAATAAAAGCTACAGAACAAACCAACGAAAAATTACACATTACGATTGTAGTATACAGACTAATTTAGCACCTACAGAAAATTAAAAATGGTTTATATAAGATATAGGGTACTCCAAAGTATGCATCCAATTTTTTCAAAAAAAAACTGTCCAAATTACTCACGATTTTAATCATTTTAACTTACGAATGATGACTGATAAGGTTGGCATAAACATTCTTGTGGCTTAACCACCCCGAAATGTGCAATTAAAATGCCATTAAATCCAACCGACTATTAATACTTAAAGTAAATTCGAATTCAAGTTACTAAGATTTAACTAACATGATTTTATGTAATATTTCAAAGCACTTTGTAGCTTTTTAATGAAAGCACTCTATATCGTGCATTAAATCAATCTGTTACTGCTAAGTTTATTTAGGATTGTAAAAGTCATCTCAGGCTAGAAGAATTAAAACCTTGCTTAGACCTTAATATTTAAGTAAATGCATATGATTCTCATGAGTATCTTATTTTTCTAGAATGCATACCAGGGTTATGATATATTATAGACTATCAATAAAAATTGGTTTATTTTGACGATTTTGAAATGAAAATTTTGCACTTCATGTTAATTTAAAGTTTTTAAACCCTTGAAATAGAATGCATTTAGTAATATATTTTAGTGAGTTGATGCTGTTAATGAAAATGTAGGAGGTAGAATGGAACATTAAAACCATGTTTAGCCATTATATCTAGAGTAATTTTGGCAGTTTTATTTCAAACAAGATATTCTCACTATATATATATTCCCTACTAAATAAGATTATTTATTCGTACCCTGAAAGTGAAACCAAAGATAAATAACAATTAATCTCTCATAGAACGTTCTCAGTATTTGTATTTTTGTACCTTAATGGGCGGGAATGTGTGTTGAAACCTTCTAAAGATCACTGACTGTGTTTTCAAAGAAGAAAATTATGTATTTGAGGCCTTATATTCAGTATTCCATAATTTTCGAAACACATGCTGTAGCATTTGCAGTATATTTCTAAATTCATTCATTGACTAATTGTCGGATCTAATCTCGAAAATACTTTAGCATGTTAAAGCCCATGAAGATGTTTGGATTGTGTGATGCCGGTCAGCTACTGCAACAATTTTGAGAGTTATACTGTCGCTTCTCGGAATCTAATTATCCGAGTTCTATTTTGCTATTTAAGAATTGCTTGAAGGACAAACTTTACTAATCCTCTATACTTTGTACAGAGTTGACTAATCGCAACCCTTATTTTTCTTATAACTCTTGACAGATATTTGCTAAAGATTTGCTATATGACCAGGTGAGTAGGTTTATAGGGCGTTTTTCATACCTCGAAGATTTTTCCAAACTTAAGTGTTATGAAGCATTTACCTCGTCAGTGTTGGTTTACCCGTTGTTTTAGTTTTAGTTCTTACTGAAATCCACAAGCGATTTGCCTAATAAATGAGCGGCGTGTATCTATGTAGTTCATCGTGCTGATTCACGTTTAAAAACCCTATTTTTCGCTTTCGCCGCCACCCTAATTTCATGCGCACGTCATTCGTGTCGATTAAGCTAAGCCGTTCACTTTTGCACATTAGTTCGTGTGCCACCCTTGCTCTATCCATTGCGTTCATGTGACCATTCAGTCATTTGTAATTACACAATGTCACCCAGACTGTATTGGTCAATAAACTTCGTTAATCAGACACGAATTTTTAGGCGCAGTGACGTATAAATCGCAACTGGGTTGATTTTTTTCCTTTCTCTTTCGTTGGGTGCTTTTGTTATATCACGCCACAATAAATTGGTCATTACAACAAGGACCATCGGCAAAATCAACCTTCACCTGTCTTGGAAGTAATAAGCATAAAATAGCTTTTATTTGGGCCAAATTCTGCTCCGTATTGGTTTGTTGCTCCGGAAACCCAATTTCGCGCAGACAGCGTTATCAATGGGCATACAAAACGCTACAAGTACTATTCTAGTCTCCATCTTGGCTAGCAAGCTGAACAACGAGGTGTTGGACGTACTAATTTACTTCCACAACGACTTTCCGAATTACAAGTTAAAGGCAGCATTCCTGAAACGTATGCAGTTTATCACATAAACACGAATATATTAGCTTCCGTTTCGTGATGCCTAGGGAAACCTCAGATCGTGGGGAAGATTTGTAAGTATTCCTATGAAGACCCTTCGCATAAAAAACCAATTAAAAAGGACTTTTAAGCAATATCCAACTTATTCTAGCTACTTTGATCAAGTCTGTAACCCTAAAACAGTTGGCAGATGCCGCAGGCTTTACCTTAGGGGCAAAGAAATCAGTCCACAATTCTGAAATAGATCCAGCACTCCAAAGATGACCGAATGCTTTTTCATTTGTAGACAAGTGCAAAAGCACTGTTTCAATAAAAGACTACCTAGATAGGATTGATAAAGCAATCGATGCACTGACATTTAAGGGTTTATGAGGGAGAAGATTCTGCAAATCATTTATACCGAACCGCCCAGAGTCCCGTCTCCTCGTCTCGAGGTTTGTGTTGGTGGAAGTGCGGATTGACAGTGCAGACCTCAGTGTAAGAATGTAGTTTTAAATTTGCATACAGAGTTTGGAAGAGAGGATGCAAGGCAACTCAACTGATATGGGACTCTTGATTGACTCAGGGGCAGACATCCGTTTTCCTACAACTCAAGCCAAAAATCGTTCTATTAACATCATCTTTGCTTTCTTAGCTGTCAAGGGTTCCTCCATCCCCGCCAACTGACATAAATGTCTTACATGCGACTTCGGACTAAGACGTCGGTTTCGCCCAGTCCTCGTTTTTGCAATGACGACCAGCCCAATCATAGGCACTTACTTTCTCAAACACTCTGAATTATTCCTCAGTTTTAAAAACCAGAGTCTAATCAAATCCCTAGCCATTTTATTCGTCAGGTGTCTCCTACAAATAACGTCAGATATTTTTTTGTTACAAAATAACATACGGACAACGGACTTTATTTAAACTTACTGCAAAAATGCCCTAACCTAAAAAGCCAACTCATTGACAAGCGGGATTCTGGCACTCAAGCGCAAAATTTCGAAAAACTGTCACCTTGTTAACGCTTGAGTACGTTAGCTTTTCTCAATCTGACATTCGATGACAAAACGATAATGAAAAAACATGACGCAGTTTGACGTATTTTGAAGATTTGAAAGCGACTGGCCATCCGCGTTGCACATGGTTCCGAAGGAAGTTCGTGATGAGGGGCTTTAATGCGGTGGCTATTGTGCCTTAAACGCAATAATCATTTCTAATATCTATTTAATTTCAATTTTTTATCTGAGCTTATTAGGTGAAATCTCTTTGCAATTTGTAGGTCTGCTTAGGATCAAGGAGTGGATAGTATTTTAAAGCATTTAGCGCCATTCTGTCACATAACATGAAGAGGTAGATTTAAGAAGTTGATTTACATTTAGTTCTGCACACATCAAATTTAATAAGTTTAAAGATTTTTCATAGTTTGGGTCACTATTAAAGACATTAACTTCAGTATTGGGCAACTTCGGTAGACAGACTCTTATTAAGGACGTAGGTTTCAGACCTTATTTGTTGTATGTCTTTGGCTTCTCCAAGTTTCTCACATTCAAAATAATGAAACTAGACGTTTTGTAACTGCACACGCCAATGTTAAATTATCGGCGTCTCCATTAATATAGGAGCAAGCCTACTTATTTTGTAAACAACAAGTTACTTCGTAACTGTGAGTCAAGATATTACATCGTCAGTTGATTACATTTACGCACTGCAGTTAAATGGATGGCGTGTATAAGGTCCTGGAAGAGACCCGCTAACTTCTACACTAATGTTTTTAGAATTAAAACTTTGATAATGGAATCTGTAACGCAGATGAAGTTATCAAATTGCTGAACCGTCTAATCGTCGCAATTAATTTTCTGCTTCATTACTTTCGTGTAGGTATACCAGACGTCATGAATGAATGGACTGCCTCAGTACATACATTAGAACAGACCAATTACATCGTTAGGTGCCATAAAGTACTTGTTGATTACATGCACAGTCCAAGTTAGTCGTTTTTGTGAAAACAACTGTCATCGGCTATTCATTGGGATTATCAAAATATTATAGGTCATGTAAGTCGATGGCAACATTTGAAAGGTCTATTAGTAGCCGGAAAACTACATGTGAACGTATAAAGAGCTGCAGGGTAATATTATGAATGGAACGATGTGCCTATATCAGAGAAATACGTTTTCAGTTTTTAAATTTGCACCGTAGCAGGTTGAGGAATATGCTCTTCTCCTAAAAGAAGTTTAAATTAAAATGGTCTATCACCATTTACAGAAGATGGAGCTGTAATAATTTTAAACACAATTTTTACAGGCTAATATATGCAGTTATTAGCTTGCACTGCTTTGTAACAGTTCTGGTTAAGTTCACGTCACAATCCAATTGCGGAGGTAAGACATTGAAAAGCCAAAGCCACCAATTATTTTAGACAACCCAGACAGGCATCCATTGCGTAAGAACTCATGAGAACAATTTTTAGCCTATTTTGAACGTAGATTAAAAAGGCTCACTTGACATTAATGAACCTGGAAATAAATTATACTGTCGCGTAATAAATGTAACATCAATGAATTTTATATAAGACCTTAAAATCAACCGATGACTATTCAGGGCGTTGAAAAAAAAGACTTAATACCAAGGAAGGCGCAGAGAAGCGATCGTTTATTTTTATTCACTGTCAAGAATTGCCTCTTTTTGAAAGTCTTGGGCTTTCTGCCTGTTGACGTTGGACCGTTCCTGTAGTATCTTTTTAAGAATTTGGTGCAAAATTATACCCAACAAAATTATTGATCGAAAGTACTTTTTTAGATGTGTATTAAAAATTATCAATAGTCTTATTACTTTTTTGTAGTTTTTTTTTTAACTGGAACGTTAAACATATTTAAGCCGCCTTCAAATATTTTGATGTGTTAGTGTGTCTAAGATTCATTCGTGAGAGTATATTAACGCCTTTGAGAAAAAAGGGCGTCATTTAATGATCTAGCTGGTTTCAACCCTTTTTGACGTGCCAAATTGGTTGTGAAATGAGGAACAAAGACTTCGATGCTGCCTGTAAATTTTATAAAAGTAATATCAATTTTTACATCACAGTTTTCTAGCAAACGTTAATAAAGCTTTCATACTTACTTATGACCAAAGACTTACCCTATCAGCTCTTTTCAACCAATCCAAATACGGGCAATTCTCTTCCGATAAGGCACCCCAGGTTGGACCCCTTGACTTTGTTGGAAAAGAACGCCAGTAAGTTTCTTTTGCTTGTTCTTTGGGATATCAATTTTAAATAGCATACAGGATAGCTTTGATCCACATGAAATCCCACATGCAAATATTTGTAGCGCCTGTTTGTTGTTTCCAACTTTAAAATATTCCTTTTGGTCAGACCGCTCGCTACATCAATTGACAACTTGACAGTTAGCGAATACGGGAGTAAGTCTAGTTCAGATCGAGTTAAGTTCTCAACATTTACTGTTTCTTGGTAGATGTCACGATTTCTCTGTAAAGTAAACCCACTCATTGGGTTCACCGTTAAACTATCTACGATAGAATAAAACATTACCTCAAAACGACACATTTTAGGTTCCAGGCGCGTTTAAGCGTGCGCATTTAGTTGAAGGATGAACTTGCTTCTAAATATGTTTTTTAGAATTTCTGGTGTTTGTATTGTGTTATCATGCAGCTGACGTCTTAAGACGTTGGAAATATTGTTGGCTTAAATTTTATCGGATAGCTGATATAAAGTCAAACCATTTATTTCTTTTATTCACGTTAATCTTTTGATGCTATTGCAGTGCAAGGTGGCGGTCGCTTGGGTCGATGTCGAAAACGGAAGCTCAGGATAGGTTCGTTCAATCACTGCTACAAATTTGTCCTCAATTCGCGGCTCATCTTGAAGCAGCTGATACTATGCACTGTCAAAAAGACGCTGAAGAGTAAGCCAGTCGCCTAAATCTAATTTGTTTTTAACAGAATATACTGGTTAATGCAGTCAGATCACTATTTTTTAGGTCTAATGCAGTCATGTACTTGTTTTTCAGCGTGTTATTTATTCAAGGAAATCACGCTTTCTTTGTTCTGCCAAAGATTTTACCGTTTCTTTCCAATTATCACTAATTTGATAAATTCTCCGCAGTCTTGTAGTGTTTTCAGTGTTTTTAAAAATAACATTATTTTAAACTGATATTTTATATTTCATTACCTGTGTGATGTAGGAAGGCGTTTGCCTACAGAACCGGTAGTCCTCGTGATTACTGGATCTTATGTAATTTAACAAACGCATGTTTGGTTACTGTTATTACATGCTTTTTAATAGTTACCACATTTCTCCTAGAACAATGTCGGGTAATTAATTCATGTTGAATGGCGTTTAAATCTTAGTTATAATATTGGCTTTAACTTATTGTCGGCACAAGCAACTATGAGTTACTTTTCGTGCACACCAATGTCTTCCGACTGGAAATTTTATTTCTTAGGTTCTAATACATTACTTCTTGTTTAGGAAAACACGGGATAGTGTAGATACGGCCCCGCCTTCCGCGCATGGAGTAACTGGGTAATTAGACCAGATTTTGTTTTCGGGGAAATGGTGTGTTTCCCACATCCTGCGACAGATCTCAATATATTCTATTTTTTCCCTCATGTAACGCTTCATTTAAATAAGTTGCTATTACAACAATAATTACGTGACACTAAGAGCCTGTAAACCCGACATGCATTGCTACAAAGTGCTCCCCACCTAACTAACATTAAGGTGTCAATGTGGGTCAAGTGTGTGTTGTTTTAATTCTAACTACTAAGGTTTAATTATTTTAATGTGTTAAAGCAGGGCTTTGTGCCAAGGAAGAAGACGTTTCGTACGACAATTTGCTTTTTTTCATCATTTTGTCTACCTAAACGTTTTGTATGCCGCTGGGAATAATAAAGGTCGTTTTCTCAAAGTATGCTGACAAGAGAGGTTTCATCTCGTTGAAACAATCTGCAACAGTGCTGACCTACCAACAGCGCATACCTTAGCTTGCTGCCAGCCGATCATTTGTACTAACCTCAGCCTGCATATCCAAGTCTACTGTTGACACCAAACGAAAACACGTAGTTTTTAAACTCCCATCTCTACACTTAAAAAAGAAAAAGGAAAACATTTCTCTTGCAATCATTTCTGCAATCTGGAACAAAACCCATTTAAATTAACGTTTCAATAACGGGTCACCGTGGCCTCTATTAATTTTCCACACAATCTGATATTATCTTTATGTAATTTGTAGAGCCTATGTTAGCTCCATATTCGGTGCCCTGGTTATTTTTTCTCTGGAGCCTGGATTATTAGGCTGCCGTTTGTAATTTGGATTTATATTACCCGCGTGAATTTCGACCTATGATATACATGCACCTTGGCGGTCAGATATACTGGGGAGGAAAATCAAGCCTTGATAGGTATTTTTGGTCATACAGCAATCATGTTTCGTACAGCCAAAAATTCGCTCTCGAAAAGGGACTAAATGCAGGTGCTGCATCAACTCAACTGTAAAAAGTGTCATTTCCTCCAAAAGGATGATTTTTTTTAATATGAAGGAAAACGTTAATTTATAGTGACAATGTGTAAATGTGTGGGAATGTGAATCCGTTTCGCTGCCAGCCGATTAAGGGGTTTTGTGGAAAACGCGGCTTTCATGAAAACCATTTAATTTTTGGGTCGATCCATCTACCAACTGCAAACTAGTGTCATCTTGATTTCTGTTCTGTAGGATCACATTTGTCTCCATCAAAACCCACCTTTGTTAGTACGCTGATAATGTGAACGCGTTTAAAGTAAAAATTGACTATAAAATAGCGATTTGCATTCAGAATCAAACAATTTTTTTCGCCAACTTATTTCTAGAAAGTCTAGAAAGCACTTTAACAATCGATTTTGTGGATAAAGATTAATTGATGAAATTAGAGCCCTAGAAGTGGGCATTTGAACTGCGCCCATCAAAAAGCACATCGTTTCTCGTTTGTTTGGGAAAGTTTTGAGTTCTTCGGACCCCCAAATGGTGTTTTGTTGCCGACGTCATTAGTAACTTTGGCTGAAAGGCCTTGGTAGTGATTTAGTAATCGGTTCTCCTGTTTGGCTTATCTGCATTGTGCATGTCGCTTCCAACTAAAACATTTTGTTTAGTTTTTCGCTAAAATTGTCATTATTTTTGACAATTTGTCATTGATCATTACTTTGACCAATATAACGCATTATCACCGTAGCGTTTCCACTTTTAATGTCTTAAACATGTTTTTAGGTGTCGTTCCTCTTCCATAAGGGTCTCAGATTTCACGAACAACGAGTACGTTCGTATGTTACCTTATGTTCCAACTACTATCGGGTAAACAATACTTCTGTGTTGATTCCATGTGGGCATCCTAGCCGCTCATTGCTGAGATACTTCATTTACTGCTTTTTAAGCCGCTAATTGGGTTATAACAATCTAATTTCTTTTTCGCCGTTACAATCACAACTTAGACTTGTTATTAAGAAACTAATGGTATTTTAGTGTAGCGGCTATTGATCTTGGTGGTGACGAGAAGCATCATTTGAGCTTTATGTTATGTCTGTTTTAAATCGCGTTCGCGAACTGCTAACTACTAAATGTAGTACTAGCTACGTCCATCTAAAGACCCATCATTTTCACTCTTTAGGTCTCAAATCCGCAATGCCCTGAACGCCCAAACCTTGGAGCAATTCAAGACCTATGCTGCTCAGTACTATCCTGACGACGAGACCAAGGTAAACTCTCATGCCAGTTGTGCTTTAAATTAATTCATTTATAAAAATAACATGAGTGGTTTTTACTGGTAGTTCGTATTACTTACCGCATCTTAAGTTCTTTTTTAATATGACCTGAGTATGTTAGTTTATAGTAGTTCATAGTAGTAGCTCAACCTGTTGGTGCATTTCAACTTTAAACATTTACTTTCAATAGTTATTTTGTTGAATATTAAAAAACTACACAGATTATTGGCACTCAAATGCTACACTTGGAATTTTTAGCAATTGACCCTGATCAAGCAACTCCAGGATCGTCATTTTCACCAATACATGATCTATGTAGCAGGACATCCCTCAGCTCAATCCGCGGCTATCTCTGAAGAAAGTACCTCGCAAGCATATTCAGATGCACAGTCTGCGTCGCAAAAATCATCAGGCGATAGACAAAACGAGGTATGTTTTTTATCGACTTTGTCCTAATCAACAGTCTCCTCAAATTGCTTGATTAAAAAGCCCCAAAAGGAAGTCGCCAGAGTTTTTATGCAAACGCATCACTTCCTAAAATACGCAACACTGATTTTTCCTCCATACGTCTCGGTCGATACATTTGCACCAAATCATTGTAAACCCCGTAATTTTAACCCGCGTGAATTGTAGGTACTTGTTTTTCTTTTTTAAATCATAGCTTTAATTGTCATAGGTGGGGCCTGCCTTGCCCAGTTGCTGATCGATAAAATAATTACGCAGGCAAGCCAAATAAATATCAGATCAAGTTACAGAGGGATTTTTTAAAGGTGGTTAAGAGTTCTTAAATACGCCACTTTAAGCGTGTGCAGGTATGACAGAAACACATCCAATATTCGACGACGCAGTAACCTTACTAACACCCCAAAAAAACTATTAAGCGACTTGGTTAATGTCGAAAATCATCCGCCGTGCATTGTATGCCACGTAACTTTGTGACGTCGAAAGGCTATAATCTGTTTAATTGCGCGTTTGGTATTCAGCAAAATTAATGCTTAGTGGCATGTGGGAATTAGGCCAGGGTATTATGAATGGACTCAAACACCTTAATATTTCGACATACAAGTGTTCAGTTTGTAGCCCTTCTCTAAATGCATTTTTTATTAATTTAAAGTCATTAGGTAAATAATAATGCATTCGGAAAAAAACATTCACATACTTTGACAGCTGTGATTGTGTGGTGGGATTTGCAGAGAGGAGCTTTATGCTTTCAAGTTGTCCACAGACAGCCCCGTGATAATTTCGTGCTCCCCTATTGTATTTTACTAACAGGAAGCGCCCGAACACGTCCTAATTTTTCGTATAGAATCGTATTTTACTATGCCCATATACCACTACTGAGACTGTAATGTCAGTCCTAGTTATCCGCAATTTCATATTAGATCCTTTCGCTCGATTCCTCTCAAAGCTCATTTCAAAGACCAAATTAGATTCTCGCGAACATCGTACAAGGGTGTTGTATTTCACGTTCGGGCATTACCCATGCTGAATTTAAGATAATAATGGAAAGTTCGGAATTAGGGCCAAATAATTTAAAATTTTCTAGGAAATAAATTCGTTACTTTCGCACGCTTTTAATTGTGTTAATTTTTGTATGTTTTGTGTCAGCATTCAAATTCATAAATCAAACCTTTATCACTCCGGCGTTTTAAACGCACATATTTTTTTGAGAATCTGGACTAGCGCCCGATTTTGATTAAACAAAACCAGCTCCAGGCGAATGGTTTAAAATCACATTAAAACTGAAGCTCTAATTTATCTGTGCTTCTGTAAATGACTTATTCTAGCTTTATAACAAAACCATTTTGTCTCTTCTATTCGAATTTACCCTGCATCTGTAGTCAGAAACCTCGAAATATCTTGCTGTGCTTCTTTAGAACTGGCTTTCCTAAGACATTTGACTATTCACTTGTGATTGTCTGAGACTGGTGCCAAATCACTTTGCTCGGTCACTTTCCTACATTGTGTCAACAGGTCCGCATTGTGGATCGTATGAAACTACTTTGCCTAAGAGATCCTGTCTGAGTGCAAATTCACTCCCTCAAAACGCCTAATTAAGTGAATTAAATTGCTTCGACCACCCACACGAGTATGCTCTTGCCCTGCCCATCGACATTTCGCAAAAATTTTGGCGATTCTATAGTTGTCACTCAAAAGGCGCGCGCTTAAGCAATTAAGGCATTGATGATGAATTATTATTTTAGAAGTCTCTATTTTGCACATTCTTCAAATGGCATGTTTTGAATCGGATTCTCAGTTGAACTTTCGAAGCACCTAATGTAACATGTACATTAGAGCCTTGATTCTTCGTTTTCCTGTACTGGTTTTGTTGGACCACTTGAAATCAGCCACTAACCAACAGCCCGCATAAAAGTTTTAAGTTCTGGGCTGTCTTTGCTGTTCTTCGATTCCAGTTCCTTTTATTTGCGGTTATGGCCTTCGAAAATAGTGTCAATGGGCCTTGTTGTCTAAATGTCAGAACGCACATGATGTCGTGTTGGTAATATCACTGTTTGCTAAATAGAAAATTTTGAATTAAACCCCACCTTCGCGGTTACATTCGCAGTGCATTGCAGTGATTTAGCATTACGCTGTTTTTCGCTATTTCCCATTCTCGTTTCGTCATGTTGTCCGACACAAATCATCCACGTGGTTGATTGTCTAGCTCACTTCTTAATTTGTTATTCCCACACGGTCACTCACATCCGTTTGACCAGTCGTCGCTTTCACCAGGCGGGACCTTCACCATCTAGCCATCAGTTTTCGCCATACGTGTCATTAGTGAAAAACTGGTTGCACTTTTTCACGGTGATTACCATTCCAGCCATTGTAAACACCCCCTTTTGTCTGTAGGAATGCAGCCGAAACCAAGAGTCAGTGGATCCCACTTTAACTAGAGCGGGAACTCCCAGTTCTCTCGAAGGCTCTCATCTCACCGCTGGTAACTTTCATAAACTCTGATTTTGTTAAAATCACATGGTTGCGAATGACAATAATTAGTGATTCGATGTGAGAATTTTTATGTCTATTTAAGTTGCTCTTAAAAAGTGGTAACTTAGAACATTGAATCTTCGCGAAAAGACAGGTGAATTCCAAGCGCTAGAAATTTAAATGTCGCTCTCCTTGTTCGCTTCGTCTTTCGTCTAGCATTCAGACCCAGTCTGTTGTGTTTTCTGCAGCAAAATACAAGGCGTGTCATATTAAGTAGTTAATGTCACTCGGTTCCCTGATGTTCAACGCAACAGCGATTTTAATCTAAAGAGTCGTCGAACGTTGCTGCAGTTAACACTTTTCGCTTAAATCGCTGTTTTAAAGGAACACAGCGTCAGAGACTGTACTACTTAATTCGCTTTTACATCTGTCTTTTTAGTTCCCAAACAACCACCTACTGGTGACCTCATAGTCCCCATTCCCGACGGAACTGGTAAATTGACGGCCCCACAAATGTGGACGAGGAAAGATATTGCAGAGTTTAAATCGCTCCTTTCCAAAGACCCTGAGGCTGTCGTCCGTGTAGGAAGTGGAGAGTTGGTTACGGTAAATTTTGTTTCGATGAAAAAGCGCAGTCGCATCTACTATCTAAATGTCCATACGTAGAATGCTTGTAATAATTGCCCAAGACCTTCTAACTCTTTCCTATTAACACGTGAAGCTTCCAGGCATCACACGTTTTTTGACAATGCCCAACAAGTTTATACCCGTACCAACGCCCAGTCATCGACCTTGCTTGCATAGTCCATGATAACTATTCCTAATTAGCAATATGAGCCCTGAGACAAATTCTACCATCCAAACAAGTTGAAATTTGAATTTTGGCTTGGTTGGTGAAACGGAGACAATCCATTAATCCAGCGTGCAAATATTCGAATTTCTCAAAGGAAAATGTTATTATCTAATTCATCCTGTCTTCCTGGAGCGTGAAGTTGCCAATTACGGTCGTTGGTATCGAGTATTGAGCAATCAAGACATTTGACGATGATGTATTTCATTCCCAGATTCGTGTCCCGGTAGTTTCATCTGCTAACTGTCTTGTGTGGGAATTCGCCACTGATGACTATGATATTGGATTTGGTCTTTACTTTGAATGGGCTGAGGCAACCGTGGAGCTTGAAAGCACACCCGCAAACGGCAGTGGACAAACTCAAGCGAAGGAGGCATCTTCGGCGACACCCTGGAACCTTATCCAGGGATTCTCCCAGCCACCAGTAGATAATGGTAAAGCCTACGATAAGGTGGATGAGCTAATTCCAGTTTACAGGAGGACCTCACACACTGAAGTTTACTGCGGTTCTCATGTTTACCCCGCGTCTGGGGGTACATACCTTCTAAAATTTGACAACACATACTCCATCTGGCGGAGCAAAGTCTTGTACTATCGCGTTTACTGCGCACAGTAAAAACCTGTTCTTTTTCATGTTCTGTATCAGAATTTCCGGTTGGGTCCCTCCGACACTACAAACAGCTTTTTATACTGAAACCAGTTCCAACGTCTTTCAAAGTATGAGGCAGTAAATTCATAAGCACTTCAATGACTTAAAAGGTTACCATGTGGTGTGCGGGATGCGGACAGGGAACTAGTGTTGGTCAATTGTGACCATGATCATCCCAAATTAAACGCGATTGCCACAAAATAACCGTTCCCGAGTTTACTGTAGCAAAAACTTTTTCGGTAATGCCCTTAGTAACTATACACATAGCTATACAGCAATTAGGGAATTGGTGGAGTGGGAGCCTCTGTGATTGTTGTTTGGAATCGGAATCCTGGTGTGAGTCTCTTGAGGGCGGCGATGCGCCCTTGGACGTTCTTGGTCCGCCGCCGCGAGGCCCTGGATGATGCTTTAATAGCGCTATTCGCCCGACGATTCTTTTCAAGTTCAGTCGTAGAGACTGTGCGAGGTGTTTGATTGAACATCCTGGCGTCGTAGTCCTCAATAACTTCGCCTATAAGAATACTGCTGGGATGACATTTGTTAGTGCAAATACTGGGGTTTATAGTTGTGCAGGTCCCAACAAACATTGTTTTAAAATCATTGTATTTGGTTTTCGCAATTATAGAGAGGAGGCACGACTAGGACTATCCTTCCGTTACGTGCAGACTTAGCATTAAAAGCCGGATGGAACGAAAACAGACACGACAGTGATACCGGGTTTGACGAACAAGAGGAAAAAGCACCTTACTCAATGCATGCATATTTCAAACTTACATTTCATGATCCTGTTAAAATTCAGAACGTTGTGTACTGTTTTCGCAATAATGGGCGCTGCTTCCTTTTCCACTAAGATGAATGCAAGATCTTTTGGCTTAAGTGTCTAGAACGAGGTCAAAATAAACAAATAGATACTTTTCTTGATCTCGGAAGAAAAATACTGTGTACGAGGCCGAATTGCTGGAAATACTTTTTCAGCTGTGATTCCTCAAAGTGTTTGGGCAGATGTGAAACTTTTAGGGCGGCAAACCGCTTCTCTTTTGGGGCTCTTTTCCATTGATCAGTTTCCCTAGATGAATTCGTTGACTTCTTCATCTTTGCTTGTCTCATGATGAGGCACCGAAGAAGACAATCTATA